AAATACGAAGTGGGCGTCTTCTCCGAGGGGTTTTGAAGGATTGGGTTTAGGGATGTAATAAGCGGCGATTTCTTGGAATTTGAGGATCGTCGGAGCCGGAGGAGATTTGGAGGTGCAATTGGTTAGAAAATTTCGTTTCAAAATCATTATTTATTATTATTATGATGATCGGAAATAATAATAATAATTTTGAGAGTGATGAAATTAAGAGAAGATTTGTGTGTATATATTATGAGAATTAGAGATTTCATTTCATATTAGGAAAAGTAGAGAGTTGAAATAGAATTAGGAAACTATGAAATTATGAAATCAGCGATGCTTATTCATTTTAGATTTAGTTTCCTACTTAAATTTTGAAATTCAAAAAAGTATTGAATGAGACTGCTGCTTGCTTCCTGAGTTTTATTCAAAAAAATTTATATTTTTAAATAATCAATCGTATAAAGTTGAGGGACAACCTCTCACATAAATTTAGCTTTGTATATTTGAATTTAATGAATAGGTTACATTATAAATTTGGTTATTCATTATTTTATTATTATTATTATTATTATTTTCAAGAGTACAAACAAAAAGGCCAAATAGAAACTTTGAATATTACATCAACTACATGGATATATCCTAGAGATTAAAGTTGTAATTGAACCATTTCAGGGACACATATAGCTATAAAATTGAAGGTCAAATACATACTTTAGTTCTCGATGTTTGAATCTTTTTTACAATTTGATCCCTAATATTTTAAAAGTTTCGATTTCTTTTTTTTATTTTATAATATTTTGTTTATTCTAATTAAGCCTTTATTATTTTTTTAGTATAATATGTGGAGGTAAAATCTCAACCTTTAGTCGAAAATAGACGCCATGCCAGTGAACTATGCTCTTGACATTTGTCATATATTATCATTAGTGGTTGAATTAACTTAATTAATTGAAATGCTACAGCATTAACAAAAATTAAAACTAATCTTTACTAATATATGGTAATATCTGTGAATTAAATTATGAATTCGGAATTTAATTTCAACTATAATTTTAGAGTTCTCAATTAATTAGTATTGTTTGGATTTAATTTTGGATGCCCTTTTTAAAAGTGGGTATCCAAGATTCCCAGCGAGAGCATCCGCTTCTTACATTTTTGCCTTTCATTTTTTTCCATATATTTTCTTTCATCAATTTTCTTTATTTTTCTCCAAAATTTTTTATTTTTATTTTTAAATTTATAATTTAAATAAATGAATGGATTCATTATCTAAGCAAATTTATGCAATTAAGTATATTTGTATATTACATTTACATATAAAATAAACTACAATTAAATTATATAATATCTCGATTTATTTTTAATATTTTGAAGTAACAATTTTCTTGACGACCAATATATCTGTGATATTTTTCCTCTTAAAAAAAATATAATATGATGGTAAGATAAATGGAAAAATATTAAAGTTGAAAATGAAATATATATTGAATATAATTAATAGGAATTAATTTGTTCTACGAAACAACGAATAAAAAACCAAAATATTAAATTAATTCAAATAAATCTATTATATTAAATGAATTTATAAATTATACGAGTATTCATAAGGCATTTTTTGAATATTCTATAAATTTAACAACAAACGGCTATACAAATATTCTCGGACATCCTTAATAAATTTTCCTATGAAACAAACATGACTATCTGAAGGACATCTAAAATTCCTGACATCTGAAATTTCAGGTATCAGACATCTACATTCCCGAAATACAAACGACCCTGAGAGTTTTAATTTTGTTCTAATAATAATTTAGTGAAATCTGACACATTGTCCCTCAACTCCCTTTTTACTTATAAAAAGCTTGCTCCTAAACTCTAATTAACAAAAACGTACCTCATTCAATAAAACAACAACAAAGACAATATATATAAATTGTTTAAACTATACACATCAAATTAAAAAAATTTCAAATTATAGCCTGATGGAATATATTTGTAATTTTATATTTTAAAAAAAATATACTTATTATGACTACTCCGGTACATTTACACATTTTTTAAAACACATTTGAATTTTTAACCAAATTAAAAAATAAAACTAAGTCTTTGAAATTTTTGCCATTTGGTTTTTAAAATTTAGCTTAGATTTAGCTAGATTTTAAAAACATTTTAAAAGAATAAATAGCATATAAAAAAAAAAAGTGTCCCATGAAACTAGGGTTTACAAACTTAATTTTAAGAAATAAAAGTTTAATATAGTTATTAAACGGGTCAAATGGACCCAAAATTCCCAAATATTTTGCAAAAATAAATCTTTAGTTGTTTCCTAATTATTTTCGAAAATATCCCACCAGCAGAATTTTTCTCTACTTTCCCTACTTTGACTCTTCGTCTTCTTCATCCACAATCTCTATATAAACTTCGCCGATCACTTTTCCCTTTTTCACAATTTCCACAATGACTGATATGAAGCGGAAGCTCGACGATCAAATCTCCGACGAATTTCAATTTCAGTTTTCCTCTGCCAAAAAAATGGCAACTCCGAATCCGATCCTAAAAATGAAGTTCGGTTCTTTCTACATTCCCAAAGACAACCCTTCGAAACCGCTCGGAGAAGACGCCCACTTCATCTCCGCCGCCAAACAGACCGCCGGCGTGGCTGACGGCGTCGGCGGCTGGGCGGCGAAAGGAATCGACGCCGGCGTGTACGCCAGAGAGCTGATGGCCAACTGCGCCGCCGTCGTCGCCAACGAACGCGGCGGCCGCGTCGACCTCGGAAAGGTTCTCGCCATGGCTTGCAGCCGGACCGCCGCTCGCGGATCGTCGACGGCGTGCATGGTGTCGCTCGACGGCGCGGTTCTCCGGTCGGCGCTGGTCGGAGACAGCGGGTACGCGGTGTTCAGGGATAAAAAGTGTATTCACAGATCGCCGGTTCAGCAGCGCGGGTTCAACCATCCGTATCAATTGAAGAGAGAACCGGGTCCGAGTGACCTGGGTTATGCGTCGCGGGAGGAGGTTCCGGTGGCGGCCGGAGATGTTGTGGTGGTCGGAACTGATGGGTTGTTCGACAACGCATACACGGATGAGATCGGAGAGCTTTCGGAGACGCCTGAGCCGGGGGATTTGGCCTGGGAACTGGCGGCGCTGGCCTTGTACAATTCGAACGATGACAAGTATGATAGCCCATTTGCGGTGGCGGCTCGGGCCGCCGGTCGACAGCACACCGGAGGAAAAATTGATGATATTACTATAATTGTTGCACGAATCGTGGGTTCGCATTGAGTTCACAAAGATTATTAGAAAGAACATTTTGGATTTTGGATTTCTAGTTTAGATTTTGGACTTTTCAATTGCAAATATAAAGAAGATTAGTTTACTTTCTAAAACTTTTATCAGCAATGTTATAGATAACATGGAAAATATGGAAAGATTAAAGAAATTTGTATCTTATTTACTTTTTGCTGGTCTCGAGCGTGGGACATATATCATCGTCTAAAAAATTGAAAGTTCGAATGTAAGTAAATTTGCCATCTCTCTGACCAGAGAGAAACAGCATAAATATTTGACAAGAAATTTGAAGTAGAATTCTACTAATAGCATATCACTGAATCATGACAAAACTGCTCTACCACAGCTATTAATCTTCATACATTCATTTTCTATAACATCGTCCAACAGATTCACCCAGCAATTTGTTGATCTCTGTCTGAGTAATTTCCGACGAGATCATTCATCTTACAAACTGCATCGTCCCGCAATTTGCTAGCCTCTATAGAGCCATTTTCCATAGGATCACCCGAAATCGAATAATTCACATTACCAATTTCATCCTGCCATTTAGGCGAAACCTGGTTGCTTTCGAAATAAAGAACATGAGACTAATGCAGAAAGATATTAATCAAATGAACTACCGTACCTTTGACACGCCTGGCTTTGTTAAGGAACGACCCAGAGGTTCGCCTTTCAACACGACTGATGGAAGCTCTTCGACGTCCCAACCAAGAACCTTGCACACAGCCGAACTATATGCTCTATGAGCCAGTGTCTTCATCTTCAACATTTTAGCACGGTCAGCATCGTGAGGCAGATTTTCCCCTATTCTATTCTTCGCTAGAGAAGTTGAATGTTGGAGAAGACGACCACACGTCTTAAATCCCTTTGGTGTTTTCTTCCCTGCTCCTTCACAAGCTAAGCAGACAAATTCCCCGTCTTCATAGTTGCTCTCGTAATATCCCCTCAAGTCATCATTCTCAGTAAACAACTTCAAGAAGAACTTGAATTCTTCGCGTTCCTCGAGTCCATCTCCATCGTTCAATTCATCGCTCGTAGATGGAGAGAAGCCTGCAAAAAATTCTTTACAGGCTTTCGAGATCGGCTGCAGTACCTACAACACATTTAAACACAACTTCTCATAAGCAGAAACTAAACATTTTGCAGAAGGCATTCAGTTAAAACAATTGCAAGGTCATAAAGAACATCTGAACTGAATTATACACTGTATTCTGCACTGATTTAGTTAGTAATAGACTACCAAGGAAAGGATCATATAAAATAAAAAGAAGTTCAGTTCTATTTCCACTTTCAAAACAATTATAGAAACTGTGCAGTCTTGAAGGGAAAGATATCAGAAGAGAACATTTCTGATTTATTTTAACCAATTAAAACAAGCTACTGAAAGACTTGTAAACAATTAATGGAAGAAATTACTTGTCCTAGTAATTTAGTAATGGAGGAGAAAAAGAATCAATGTCCCTCCAGGGCAACAACGACGGATATCGCACCGTCGAAAACAGGCAATAAAAACAGATATCACACCATCGAAAACAGGCAACAACCACAGATATCGAACCATCGAAAACTGCATTTGGTTCTTCTCTCCATATCCTAAACTTAAAAAAACTAGCGAAGTTAGGAAAAGAAAAAACCACATGAAGTAAATACAGTAAGATGATCTCACAGGCAAGTTTTTCATTTCCTCTTTGTCTGATCCCATGCCTGGAATTGAATTATCAGTATTTTCTTCTTGCATATTGACATCATTCTCCTTGCAGCCATTTACATTCTATAATACAAAGCAATCAAAATGGATATCTCACATAAGCAACCAAGCAAATCAAACGTTCTAATGAAGCTGCCCATAAGAAATTAATCCAATTATTACACAAAAACTAACCTCACCAGAACTCGAATTTTTAGCATTAGAATCAGGATCTTCTGCTGCCTTGTCTTCCTCCAATTTCTCTTCATTCTTCTGATCATCGTTCTCACTCTTAACCCCACAACCACCCTCTTTAGCCACATGATTATCCTCAGGCTGAACCTGAAACATGTTGTAGTCCAAAGCAATTCAAAATAGAATCAATACCAGCCATTATAAAGAAGAAGATAGAAAGAAACATGGGCATGGAAGTACCTCTGGTTCTCCAGAATCAGCTAATGAGCGACTAAGAGGCTCGCCTTTCAACACAATAATCGGAAGTCGATCAACATCCCAACCAAGAACCCTGCATATGACCAGTCCAAAAGCCCTGTGAGCCCGCTTCTTCTTCGTCCTCGATATCGAAATGGAATGCTGAACGAGCCCAACGCAGCTCTTGAACCTTTTCCCAGATTTCTTTTTCCCCATTCCGCCGCAGACCAAGCAACAAAACGACCCACATTCATAATTCTTCTCGTAATAAGCCCCAAGTTCACTATTCTCCACAAACATCTTCAGAAAAAACTTGTACTCCTCAATTTTCGTAATCCCCCCATCATTTTCCTCCTCCTCCTCCTCCTCTTCCTCCTCTACCTCACTCCCAGAATCGGCATTCCTCGCGAAGAATCCCCGGCAGGCCTTGAATTCCTTGTACTGCAATTGCAACGCCGAGAGCTTCGCTCGCTCTTCCGACGACACGGGCTGAGCCGCCGGAGTGGCACAGGGCTGAATCGCCGGCCACCCAGATGACGTCGAGGGCTGATTTTGAACCGGCTCCGGACACGGCCATTCGGGTCCGGATTCTTGCGGGTGGTCGGGGGCAGGGCGTGGCTTCTTCTTCTTCTTCTTGGCCTTTGGGGGTTGTGGGCCTCCGGGTCTCTTGTTCGAAGGGATGCGATTCGCGACATTGGCGACGGCGATTGCTGAATGATTGGGAATGGATTTACAGTTCTTCGGCGGACCTCGCCGCCAGAGAGAGTGGAGATGAAGAACCTCTTCGGTGAGTCTTCTCTCGTCGTAGGGATCCATTGGTGCTAATAACTTACGAAAACGTCGAAATCAACAAGAAACTGAAGCTTGGGTTCTCTTTATACCGATCACTCTTCTTCCATCGTTTTGCTCCCGCGAAGTAACATTTTTCAGAAATAAATAAATAAAGAAGGAAAGAAAGAGAAGTCATGTATCCATTATAGTAAGAAATTTATTTTGATTATGGCTAATAACTTTAATCAATATTTGAGGATCTTTTTGACGTTTCATGAATTATATGTATCTAAACTAATTGAGACTTGATAATCGGAAAATTAAGTTGACGTTGTTGATCTCTTCGACTATACAAAATCGACCAATCGATTGAATATCTTACAAGAAATTAATTATATATAACTATTGTTTAGTCTAGGGTTTCATTTTCTTTGTTCAACTTTAAACTCTCAAGTCTCTTGCATATTTTAGCTCTCTTTAGCTCAACCCACTTGCTATCCTTCTATAGAAAAGATTAAAAAAATGTCGGTTTGTAGTTCGGTTTGGTCGTCGAATATACATTGATTGATCGCTGATCATTCTAGAATTGAGCTTTTCAAGTTGGAATATTTGATAGTTGTCAAAACTAACACTATTTTTCTTTAGGGTTAGAGATTTAAATCCTCATATTTATGTTATGATATTAAAAGGTTTGTATAAGTTTATTTGCCAATGTGAATGTAATTCGATACCTATTTTCGACCAAAAAATCATAAGTTAAAATCTCCACTTCTATTCGTTGTAAAAAAAAAAATTCATAGATTTTAAAAATGACACATATGATGAAATAAATAACTTGACTGTATAATAATCACTCATTGTCGGTACAATTTATTTAAAAAATGAAAAGAAATATTATCAATACAAAATATCAAAATCGGAAGAAATGGGATAGGCCAATCAACATGTAAATTTAGCTCTTTGCTAATAGAGATCAAGTAGACATCGAGATTCGAAAAATTTGTTGTTTGTCATTTGAGATTTGAGAATAATACGAAATTTTGAAGCAAAGATTCCCCATTTACTCTCTTCTAGTTCTACTCCTCCATTTGCTGATCGATTCCACATTCCGTACGACTCATATGCCCTGCCGTAATCGCATACTCTCTTCCATCGCTCAAAATCCCAACTCCCCATTGAAGCGTTTCTCTTACTTCTTCTCCCACAATCCCAAATATTTCAGCCGATTTTTCTTCCAAGACCCACCAATGCCTCCGTCTTCTGTAAAAATCGTCGCGGAGTATGCCAAGTCGAATCGGTCTACGTGCAAGACCTGTTCCAAAAAGATTGCTGCCAAGGCTCTGAGGCTGGGTTTCGTGAGCCGAGACGAGCGGGGGTTCGATATGACCCGATGGGTTCACTCCGATTGCGCTTCGTTTGGTTCAGAGCCTGTTAGTTCCGCCGAGGCGATTAATGGGTTCGCTCTCTTGGAGGCATGTTAGAAATGGAAATGGGAGATTTTAGATATCTGTTTGGCTCCAACTTGATATTCTGTCTGCAGGGTTTAGCATGTGTTTGATAAAATGTTTCTAGAATTAAAAGTTTATTCATCTGTTTGTTTTTGTTTTTGTAGGGTTGTGATCAGGAAGCTCTGAAAAAACTGATTAGCAGAAGCCATGAATCTAAGGTGACTGTTTTGCTCACATTTCTGTATCATGTTGCTTTATGGATTGGTTTAGTGTTAGATTTTCTTTAGCTGGGTATCATTTGAGTGATTATCATGAATTTTTTGGTTAAGCTTTCTCTTTTGATTCAGTGGTTTAAATTGTAATATATCTACTTGTCTCATTTTATTTCTTATGCTAGCATTTTGTGACTAGTTTGTGAAAGGTTGCAGGGAAAGGATGATGTTAAGAATGAGACAGAAGGAAGCGAGTTAATTGCCAAGGGTTCCAGGGTAAAAAACTATTCCTTAATAGAAAAATGAAGAGGGGAGGAAGAAATTTGGTTACTAAATGCATTTCCAATAAATAGGTTCGCCGAAGGGATGAGGACGAAGAAGATGGAGTAGACGAAAAAGATCAAAAGAAAGTCAAGGTATGCATATCTAGAGACCGATATGCTTTGCAGAGTGTTTTCAGAATTTTTAAGCCGTGTTGTTAATGTTGTATGTTGAACTGCTTGTCAATGGATCCTCATTGATTTTGCGTACAATGTCTTTAAGCCTTGCTGTACTGAACAATTTAAACTGCTGCTATAGTACTCCATTTTGAGTTGTAACGACTGTTGAAATTATTGTTCTGAAAATCTATGTCCATTTAGAGTCATAATTTCTTGATATCCATCTAAGTAATAATTTGGTATAGCTACTGAACTGGAATAGAATCATTGAATGCAGCTTCCTACGGTGCCATCATTTCTCGCCTTGTAATCTGAATTCCAAACTGGTTTTCTTAACTTTGCTCGAATCTCCATCCTATATAATTTCCTTGCTTATGCTGGCTGTGGTTCTTGGTTTCTTGTTCAATTTCTCTAGTTATTTATTCTATGCTGTATGTTGTATCTTATCTTCTCTGTTTTAATGTACTTTCTTCTTCTTTAGTGAATCAATACATCTAACAAGCATAGACATTTCAGTTTGGGTAACGTGGTTGTGTCTGACACGTATTGGACACTTGTTAGCTCATACCCTAGTTATACTAAATAAATATGGATCCGATACTTAAGTATGATGAATAGACATCATGACTAACATAGAAGTAGAACGAAATAATATTTTTTAAGAGCAAAATACATCGAACTTATAACTTTTTAGGCATAAAGATGCATAAACTTATTGACTTTAAATTTCTTTCTTGTATAGAAATGATATATATTTCAAAAATATATATTTGAATAAACGTGTTATTGCTATGTTTGTGTCCTATATTTTTATAAAATGACGTGTCACCATGTCTCGTGTCCGTATCTGTGCTTCTTAGTTCTACATGTTTTCTATCAAAAAGGTAAAGTTACAAGTACTACACCCTCTTACTATCCAATTTCATTTTTTTCAGCCAAAGTTAGATATCGTCCTTACGACTTCCGACATAAAGACCAAATATAAGGTAGGATCCAATCCTTGTTACTTATTCTCATCTCATTACGAGGTGGTTTTGTACATTTTTCCCCATTTTTAGCTGGAATGGATTTTGAATAGTTGGCAACATGAACTCACTTTTAAGTATGCTAGTTTAAGGGCAATAAAATTTCATTGAAATATATAATCCACACCCATATCTTAATGAAGTAATAACTGTTAATATTAAAAATTGTTCTCGATCAGCTTTTGTAGCATCTTTGAATGAAATTCCATCATATGATGCTTCAGTAATAGAATCATATGTTCAAAAATTATGTTTGATAAGTAGCAATATTATATTAGAAAAAAAGATTACGTATATTTTTAAGACAAAAATCTCATGTGGCATCAGAGACTATTTCGAAACCACGATTCATACATAACCAAGGTGTTGAATGATTCAGGATGCTACACTCTTACCTAAATGGAAGGCATTCCAGACACTCATCTTTCTTGAACAGGTAAAAGAATTAATTATTTATAATTTGTGTTTCCTAGCCATCGTGTTCATGCTGATTGAGCAATGTGGACAAATATGAATGAAGATTTAGGATAATGTTTATTTCTTTCTTCTACTTAAACTTGTTTTGGACTAGTTTTTGATGCTCTAACAACATGTATTTATCTTAGCAAGGATTTGTCTAACTAAAGCTCTTAAAACACATAATCAAACTATCAGGTGTACACAGACTTCACCTCTTAGATTAGATTATAACCCAGACAAATTGATATCATTGTACTGTTTACTATATTTATGTGTTTTACTTTTTAATTAAATGGCAGGATGAAGGGCTACATCATTCAAGTAAAATAGCTGCATTTGATTTTGATGGCTGTCTGGCAAACACATCTGTTAAAAGGTATGGCTGCATCCTATCCGATGTGGAAGTATGGATTTTTTTCCGTGTGTGTTGACTTTTTTTTTTAATAGAGGTTGGGGGATTCGAACTCATCACCTCTTAGTCAGAAACATGTACCAATTACCGTTTAGTTAAGCTCATGTTGGCATCCTTAAATAGTCAATTGGACTTGTTTATTAACTATAGTTTTGAAGCACTTTGAAAAAATAATAACCATATTTCATGATCATGAGTCACCACAAACTTTCTTTTCATAATTACTTTTTACTCACGTTTTCTCTACACATATTTTCTCTCTCTAATTTCTCTTTACATACACTTCCATTTCGTTATTTAGAGGGTGGGAAATAGTGAAGCTAAGTTGGGTGTGGGGTGTTTTTATTTCAGAGTAGGTGCTGAGGCGTGGTCTCTGATGCACCCTTCAATACCACAAAAACTACATAGCTTGTACAGCGATGGCTACAAGCTGGTCTGTCACTCTTCTTCACGAATTAACAGACTTAGTTATTCTCTTATTTTGTTGTTATGATAATAGTAATCAATGAATATGAGCATGAACACGAGGCAGGTAATATTTACGAACGAATCGAACATCGAGAGATGGAAGAATAAGAGGCAGGTTGCTGTGGACTCCAAACTTGGGCGTCTCAATAATTTTATCCGTCAGGTCGAGGTCCCAATTCAGGTAAAATATAATATGTACGCCCACGTTTTCCATCTCATAAACAAAACATAAATCATTGTACAACAATTTCCTTTCCTTTAAAATTTTCAGTGTTGTGTCTAATAGCTCTCGAAATTCTATAACGTCACGAACTTTCAATTTTATTTCGAACGTCACTAAACTTAAATGATTAGTGTTAGAGTGTGGATGATGGTGCAGGTGTTTATTGCATGCGGAATTGGAAATGGATCGAAGTCGAAGTTGGAGGGTGGAGTAGAAGACCCGTTTAGAAAACCGAAACCTGGGATGTGGCACATCATGGCGCAGCACTTCAACTCCGGCATCCCCATTGATATGGAGCAGTTAATTTCTGTGTCTGAATTTTTTGGGTTATTCATTCTATCTTTCAGTTTTTATACTAATGGTGGTTGTGGTTGTGGTTGATAGATGTTTTTACGTGGGGGATGCAGCTGGTAGACCCAACGATCACAGTGATGCTGATCTCAACTTTGCTCAGGTACCCATACTAATTTTATCCCCATATTTGACAATATTTCGAGTGTTCTACGATTGTGATGGAAAAAAATAAGATAGAAAACAAAAGTACATAGCATCAAAATGGACAAAAGCGGAAAGGTGTATCCGAATATGCATGGCTTTGATTCAACTAGTCTTTTAGTAGCAATTTAATTTTAGTTTAGCTTTTTGGCCATATTTATCCTTGAATTTGTTTTATTGCCATTTTGCAGGCCGTTGGGTTGAAATTTTATGTTCCTGAAGAATATTTTGGTGAGTGATTATTTAATTTCCCAATCACCAGCCAAAAGAAAGGCTGTGTGGCATTGTAATTATTTTCTTGATAGCTGCTGCTGTACCTCATTTTCAACTTTACTTCACTGCTATTAGTAATTAGTAATTAGTATTATCCTTTTGTGCCATTCTAAAAGCTAATGGTAAAAGCTTGTAGTTCATATTTTTTCTGTTTTGTCTTTCTAATTTTAGTCAAATTTCAGATCCGAAAAAATATAAATATTAATCCTTTTTAAAAATCAGAATTTGGTTAGGACTTAAAACACATTTTTATCAAGTGAACACGCCTAATTTCTCATAACATCATATTAATATTTTCATGGCTATCATAATGGCTTCAAGCTAACGAAATTAAATTATCACTATATATATTAGTTCATAATAATAATAAAAAATATGTATATTAGTTCGGAATTAAATGGTCAATTACATCATGTTATAGATTTTTTTTACATAAGAATTATATTAATAAAATGAACAAATTGATTTACCAATCATCAATTATGGTAAAAATTATCAATCTTGATTTAGTTTAACTGGCTCATTAAGATATAATGAATAATAGGTAAATGGAACAAGTATAACTAAACCAATGTGTATTTGAAAAATCTCCAATCAAAAGTAGTGAGTTTAAATTTTCACCTTGACAATTTACCATCCGATTACCATATCTTTATCTATTTTTGCCCTCCAAAAAGTAGATACATTATTTTTTTCTAAGAGATCCATCCCCTAAACTTTCCCACTCAACCAAAAAAAAAAAAAAACTTGATAGAGTAATATGGTGTTGAGTTTAACTTTTCTTTCTATTTCAAAAATGATGTTTGTTTACTAAACAGAAACAAACTGATGATGAGATGAGATGAAGATCATACCCCAATTTCACCATCCAAAATAGCATGCCTGGTAAGTACAATCTCCTTCACAAGGTTCCTGTAAGTGAATGGCCTCACTGTAGATCTCAAAAACAACTCTGGAGGGATTTGGCTTTTCTTTATCCTCTTCCTCCATGGCCCATACCCAATTTGTTCCCACTCTTCTGCTCTCACTTTTGCTCTCTTGCCTCTCATTTCAGTCTCATCCCCATCTTCCATGCCCTTTTTCCCTTCCATTTTCTCCATCTGTTTCTCATACAATTCATCACTCACTTCTGCACTGCGTTTAAACAGCTTCTCCATTTCCTCTGGACTACTTATCGCCTTCCTGAACCTCTCGTCCCAATAATCCTCGTCTTCCTCTCGACTTCGATCATCTTCTTTCGTATCCGCCCCGTCCTCATCTCCACCTTCTTCCATCACCATGTCATCTATCTGATCCTCATCGTCACCCTCGTCATTGTCATCATCAGTCTCAATCCACTCCATTATCACATTTTCCCCATCGCCCCCACGTCGTTTCTCATTGTCGTCCGGAGCATCACAACCCAACTCCTCCTCCTCCAACTTGGCCTTCCACTCTTTTGTATATGGATGCAGCAATGGAACAGGGTGGTTAGTGAGAAGAAACTCCAAACACTTGGATTTCTTCTCGTCACTCAGCTTCTCATAAGCATTCACCACATCGTCCACAAATGCCTTTGGATTCACCCTCACAATCTTACACAGCCCACCGAAATAAGTCACCCACTCCACATCTCCTTCATCATTCTGCAACTCGAACAGAAAATCTTGCTCTGTTTTTGGATCGAGAAACGGCATTATCGCCTGGAAAAACTCGTCCTGAGGCTCAAATCTGCACTGGTAAACTGGTTTCTTCACATATATGATATCAGGTCTCATCCACGCTGCACATTGAGTTATATTCTTTCTCGACTTGTTCCCAAGCCGACCCATCAAATTCCATTTATCCAACCTTTCTTTACCGGCTTCCAGCACGACCTCTGCAATCAGAGTCCACTGCTGCCATGGCAGGTCCGAAATCCTCCAGCGCGGGTGCCTCACGAACACCCAAAAGTACCGAAACCCCTTGCTCTTGTCCATCCGCTGCAATCCCTCGCTGAAATCAGAAGCCATTTCTGATTGCTCGATCTTCTCCCACTCCTCGTGGTCCTTGACCTCGCTGATTATGGTAACTCGCTCGTCCGTGAACCGGCCGCGAATCGGCTCGCCGACGACGACTCCGCGCCACGAGTACGGGCCGTACTCGCCGTACTTGTACCAGTCGTAGGGATGGCGCAGATTCGGGTCGTCTTTCTCCATGAATCGGACCATCCGATCGTAGCCAAGGCCGATCTGTTGAAGCTCGTCCTCGGTGAAGTTATCCGCGTAGTTGCTGTTGGAGTTCTTGCGGCGGTAGAAATGGGATTCGGCGAACTTCTGGCTCTTCCGGCGGGCATTTTGCCTCAGTTGACGCCGGAACTCGGCGTTGCCTTCGATGCGGCCGGGAGAGTGGCCTCCGCCCTTCTTCTTGCTCCTGCCGGCGAAGGTCCGGATATCCCGAGGGATAATTGCGAATGGGAATTGCGAAATTTGGCGGGAGATGGGAAGAAAACAAGGATTTGGGGAAGCGGATACAATGGAGAGTGGTTTATGAGAGCGATGGGGTTTTAGGGTTAGGGTTTGAAGAAGAGGATTGGAGAATGGTGTGAGGAGCGGAGACGAAGGGTTTAGGGTTTTACAGACGGAGAAGTCCAGAGTCGCCATTTGGAACCTTGAATGGACGGACAGAGGTAAGAAGATAAAAGGTTTTTTTTTTTTTTTTCATTGTTTTTTTACTAAAAGATGAAGATAAGAATTCAACCTTCAACCTCTAAAAATATGCAAGATGAGACTAGTAGATTGGGAGTCACTAGAATTTTGTATTTTCGTAGGACTTAACTATATAATTATTAAATATGAAGACTCTGAATTATTAATCTGAAATTCTTCTATCGGCATAATCGAAAACATTGTCAAGTTGCATATTCGAACACTTTTTATCAAATTGCATGATCGAAGAATTTTATCAAACTACAAGTCGAAAAAATTCATCAAAATTGCGAGCGGTAGAACTTCATCAAAAAGTACTTCATTAAACCACATAATCAAAGTATTCAATGAAGTACTCGACAAGTTTAAAGCTAAAGATTTCAAATATTCTACGACAAGGCAAACCTACTTGTTTTGAGAACAAACTCATCAGTCCTCAAATCGAAATTTATATAAAATATAAAACATCAAAACATTATACATTAAAGATTTGAACATTATACATTAAATTCAAATACAAGTTTATATATTTTTAGTTCGCCTCTTAATTCCTCGTGAAGAAACACCCTCATACGAATTAAACTTAAACGGAACAAGTTTTTAAATTTATGTTACTATGATAGGAAGTGAAATTTCTCCAAAAATTAATAAGAATCCTTATAAATTTTTTTTGTTGGAATAGATTATACAATTTTTAATGGAACACATGAAAGACGTATAGATTGAAAATGAAAAAATAAAAAGAAGTAAAATTTGACAGATGTGAATAAGACTTGAGGATATATTAGGTTTAGAAATTAGAAACATTCTCTAATGTTTCGGAGTCTTGATTTGGGAATCACACGTGTGTTTAGCGCGCACGCATCTTCGTGCTGAAGTTCTCAATTGGATCTCTCTCTTTCAAGTTTCAACTCAAATCTCCATGGCTCTGTTTCGATTTCACCTCCATTGAAGCATACGATTGAAGGTCCTTTGTCCGGAAATGGCGAGGCGGACCTACACCACGGAGTTGGGCTGCATTGCTTGCGAGGAGCTTGGCGATTTTGGCGCTGGAAAGGAGGGCTGGCTCGTCGACAACCCCAATCTTTTGTGCGCCCTCGATTCGCACTCTCTGGCGCT